CACCCACCCTCTCATATTCATACGAATTGAACATAAAAGATTTTGTTGTTTTAAACTTACATGTGTCAATTTTAAACTGACAATCAATGAAGGTCATTAATAAAGACCAACCTTTTTTTGTTAGAATTTGAATACAAAAGTACAAAGAAATGAAGAGGTCAATCAATATTGAAAGCAACCGGTAGAGAGGTTGTTAAGGTTATTTTGATAGGATGTCAGCGGAAAATAAAGGCTAAAAGATATAAATTCTTTGACAAAGACATAGGAAGTTAACTCAAGGATATTTTTTTTGAGGGGAAGTTTTTCAAGAGTATCTTTTTAAATGAAAGTTGTCGTGGGGTAAAGAAAGTTTTCGTTGAGCAACTTTTCTAAAGAAAAGTTGTCGTAGAGCAACTTTTCTAAAGAAAAGTTGTCGTAGAGCAAATTTTCTAAAGAAATGTCGTCGTATAGCAACTTTTCTAAAGAAAAGTTGTCATAGAGCAACTTTTTTAAAGAAAAGTTGTCGTAGAGCAACTTTTCTAATGAAAAGTTATCGTAGAGCAACTTTTCTAAAGAAAAGTTGTCGTAGAGCAACATTTATAAAGAAATGTTGCCGTAGAGCAACTTTTCTAAAGAAAAGTTGTTGTAGAGCAACTTTTCTAAAGAAAAGTTGTTGTAGAGCAACTTTTATAAAAAAAGTTGTTGTAGAGCAACTTTTCTAAAGAAAAGTTGTCGTAGAGCAACTTTTCTAAAGAAAAGTTGTCGTAGAGCAACTTTTCTAAAGAAAAGTTGTCGTAGAGCAACTTTTCTAAAGAAAAGTTGTCGTAGAGCAACTTTTCTAAAGAAAAGTTGTCGTAGAGCAACTTTTCTAAAGAAAAGTTGTCGTAGAGCAACTTTTCTTAAGAAAAGTTGTCGTAGAGCAACTTTTCTAAAGAAAAGTTGTCGTAGAGCAACTTTTCTAAAGAAAAGTTGTCGTAGAGCAACTTTTCTAAAGAAAAGTTGTCGTAAAGCAACTTTTCTAAAGAAAAGTTGTCGTAAAGCAACTTTTCTAAAGAAAAGTTGTCGTAAAGCAACTTTTCTGAAGAAAAGTTGTCGTAGAGCAGCTTTTCTAAAGAAAAGTTGTCGTAGAGCAACTTTTCTAAAGAAAGTTGTCGTAGAGCAACTTTTCTAAAGAAAAGTTGTCGTAGAGCAACTTTTCTAAAGAAAAGTTATCGTAGAGCAACTTTTCTAAAGAAAAGTTGTCGTAGAGCAACTTTTCTAAAGAAAAGTTGTCGTAGAGCAACTTTTCTAAAGAAAAGTTGTCGTAGAGCAACTTTTCTAAAGAAAAGTTGTCGTAGAGCAACTTTTCTAAAGAAAAGTTGTCGTAGAGCAACTTTTCTAAAGAAAAGTTGTCGTAGAGCAACTTTTCTAAAGAAAAGTTGTCGAAGAGCAACTTTTCTAAAGAAAAGTTGTCGTAGAGCAACTTTTCTAAAGAAAAGTTGTCGTAGAGCAACTTTTCTAAAGAAAAGTTGTCGTAGAGCAACTTTTCTAAAGAAAAGTTGTCGTAGAGCAACTTTTCTAAAGAAAAGTTGTCGTAGAGCAACTTTTCTAAAGAAAAGTTGTCGTAGAGCAACTTTTCTAAAGAAAAGTTGTCGTAGAGCAACTTTTCTAAAGAAAAGTTGTCGTAGAGCAACTTTTCTAAAGAAAAGTTGTCGTAGAGCAACTTTTCTAAAGAAAAGTTGTCGTAGAGCAACTTTTCTAAAGAAAAGTTGTCGTAGAGCAACTTTTCTAAAGAAAAGTTGTCGTAGAGCAATTTTTTTAAAGAAAAGTTGTTGTAGAGCAATTTTTTTAAAGAAAAGTTGTTGTAGAGCAACTTTTCTAAAGAAAAGTTGTCGTAGAGCAACCTTTCTAAAGAAAAGTTGTCGTAGAGCAACTTATCTAAAGAAAAGTTGTTGTAGAGCAACTTTTCTAAAGAAAAGTTGTCGTAGAGCAACCTTTCTAAAGAAAAGTTGTCGTAGAGCAACTTATCTAAAGAAAAGTTGTCGTAGAGCAACCTTTCTAAAGAAAAGTTGTCGTAGAGCAACCTTTCTAAAGAAAAGTTGTCGTAGAGCAACTTTCCTAAAGAAAAGTTGTCGTAGAGCAACTTTCCTAAAGAAAAGTTGTCGTAGAGCAACTTTTCTAAAGAAAAGTTGTCGTAGAGCAACTTTTCTAAAGAAAAGTTGTCGTAGAGCAACTTTTCTAAAGAAAAGTTGTCGTAGAGCAACTTTTCTAAAGAAAAGTTGTCGTAGAGCAACTTTTCTAAAGAAAAGTTGTCGTAGAGCAACTTTTCTAAAGAAAAGTTGTCGTAGAGCAACTTTTCTAAAGAAAAGTTGTCGTAGAGCAACTTTTCTAAAGAAAAGTTGTCGTAGAGCAACTTTTCTAAAGAAAATTTGTCGTAGAGCAACTTTTCTAAAGAAAAGTTGTCGTAGAGCAACTTTTCTAAAGAAAAGTTGTCGTAGAGCAACTTTTCTAAAGAAAATTTGTCGTAGAGCAATTTTTTTAAAGAAAAGTTTTCGTAGAGCAATTTTTTTAAAGAAAAGTTTTCGTAGAGCAACTTTTCTAAAGAAAAGTTGTCGTAGAGCAACTTTTCTAAAGAAAAGTTGTCGTAGAGCAACTTTTCTAAAGAAAAGTTGTCGTAGAGCAACTTTTCTAAAGAAAAGTTGTCGTAGAGCAACTTTTCTAAAGAAAGTTGTAGTAGAGCAACTTTTCTAAAGAAAAGTTGTCGTAGAGCAACTTTTTTTAAAGAAAAGTTGTCGTAGAGCAACTTTTCTAAAGAAAAGTTGTCGTAGAGCAACTTTTCTAAAGTAAAGTTGTCGTAGAGCAACTTTTCTAAAGTAAAGTTGTCGTAGAGCAACTTTTTTTAAAGAAAAGTTGTCGTAGAGCAGATTTTCTAAAGAAAAGTTGTCGTAGAGCAACTTTTCTAAAGAAAAGTTGTCGTAGAGCAACTTTTCTAAAGAAAAGTTGTCGTAGAGCAACTTTTCTAAAGAAAAGTTGTCGTAGAGCAACTTTTCTAAAGAAAAGTTGTCGTAGAGCAACTTTTCTACAGAAAAGTTGTCGTAGAGCAGATTTTCTAAAGAAAAGTTGTCGTAGAGCAACTTTGCTAAAGAAAAGTTGTCGTAGAGCAACTTTGCTAAAGAAAAGTTGTCGTAGAGCAACTTTGCTAAAGAAAAGTTGTCGTAGAGCAACTTTGCTAAAGAAAAGTTGTCGTAGAGCAACTTTGCTAAAGAAAAGTTGTCGTAGAGCAACTTTGCTAAAGAAAAGTTGTCGTAGAGCAACTTTTCTAAAGAAAAGTTGTCGTAGAGCAACTTTTCTAAAGAAAAGTTGTCGTAAAGCAACTTTTCTAAAGAAAAGTTGTCGTAGAGCAACTTTTCTAAAGAAAAGTTGTCGTAGAGCAACTTTTCTAAAGAAAAGTTGTCGTAGAGCAACTTTTCTAAAGAAAAGTTGTCGTAGAGCAACTTTTCTAAAGAAAAGTTGTCGTAGAGCAACTTTTCTAAAGAAAGTTGTCGTAGAGCAACTTTTCTAAAGAAAAGTTGTCGTAGAGCAACTTTTCTAAAGAAAAGTTGTCGTAGAGCAACTTTTCTAAAGAAAAGTTGTCGTAGAGCAACTTTTCTAAAGAAAAGTTGTCGTAGAGCAACTTTTCTAAAGAAAAGTTGTCGTAGAGCAACTTTTCTAAAGAAAAGTTGTCGTAGAGCAACATTGTCGTAGAGCAACATTTCTAAAGAAAAGTTGTTGTAGAGCAACTTTTCTAAAGAAAAGTTGTTGTAGAGCAACTTTTCTAAAGAAAAGTTGTTGTAGAGCAACTTTTCTAAAGAAAAGTTGTCGTAGAGCATTTTTTCTTAAGAAAAGTTGTCGTAGAGCAACTTTTCTAAAGAAAAGTTGTCGTAGAGCAACTTTTCTAAAGAAAAGTTGTCGTAGAGCAAATTTTTAAAGAAATGTCGTCGTAGAGCATATTTTCTAAAGAAAAGCTGTCGTAGAGCAACTTTTCTAAAGAAAAGTTGTCGTAGAGCAACTTTTCTAAAGAAAAGTTGTCGTAGAGCAACTTTTCTAAAGAAAAGTTGTCGTAGAGCAACTTTTCTAAAGAAAAGTTGTCGCGGAGCAACTTTTCTAAAGAAAAGTTGTCGCGGAGCAACTTTTCTAAAGAAAAGTTGTCGTAGAGCAACTTTTCTAAAGAAAAGTTGTCGTAGAGCAACTTTTCTAAAGAAAAGTTGTCGTAGAGCAACTTTTCTAAAGAAAAGTTGTCGTAGAGCAACTTTTCTAAAGAAAAGTTGTCTTAGAGCAACTTTTCTAAAAAAAATTGTCGTAGAGCAACTTTTCAAAAAAAAGCTGTTGTAAAGCAACTTTTCTAAAGAAAAGTTATAGTAGAACAACTTTTCTAAAGAAAATTTGTCTTAGAGCATCAAAGATATGTTTTCGTTGAGTAACTTTTCTTAACAGAAGTTGTTGAAAAGCAATTTTTCTAAATGTTTACCAAAATTCTTTATTCCACTGTTTTTCCATCAATTACATGCTTATAGCTGATAAATAGAATAAAAACAAACTTAAATAAACAACAGAAAATTGACGACTTTATAATCCCCCATAAATTTCATTGGAATGAATCCCTATTAAAACTTTAACCGATAGTACAAACATACTGCCACTGTTTGCATGAAATGTATTTGTACTTAGAGATACAATTTGTTATCGTTAATTCAAACACGTTTACTTAACACGACTGTATTTGTAAGTATTAATTAGTTTGTTTATGTATAAACAAATTAATTGATTTAGTTTATTGCTGATTTTTGCTTTTATCAAATGTCATTGCAGTTTATTTTCAAGGGAGAATACGTACAGTGGATTTTAGAACAAAGTTTAAAAACTAAATAACATAAGATACTTTTCAACTTTTCTATAGAAAAGTAGTTCAATTGAAAAGTTTTTTGTTTCTTCAAATTTTGTCCGATGTCCAAGCAAAAAACTTAAATCTACATAAACTTTTAATAGAAATTCTCATTTAATACTCACTTTTGTATAGGTAAACGATGCCGTAAACTTCTTAAAGTTACATGAGCTATGGCGATACCCATATTTGCACCCAATATCACAGTTAGGAAGCCCTTAATGCAGCCAAACAAATAACCCGCTGTTATCATCAGCACAAAATAACCCACTACAATTGGAAAACTAACAACAATAAAGAGAAACATAAATATGGTGAATATAATCCAAGGATTCTGGGTCTCAATCCAATACAGCAAACGTTTCGCATAATCTCGTGTCAAATAAGCGACAAACATGAGAGCCAGGAGTATGGAGAGTGGTACCAAATAACTGAGATACCAATTGCGTGAGATAAAAGCATTGGCACGATAACATATTGAAGTGCGGGTTTTACTATTCGAACGATTTGAACGACGATTATTACAACTACTTGAAGTGGCAGTTTCGGCCAACGAAGAACCACCCACTAAAAAGCTATCATGTTCATCATCGGCTTCATTAGCCATAGGCGAAGAGCTGCTGCCGGCTGATTTTGTGGGTGGTATGGTAATACGACTACCATATTCACTATCACTATCGGTGAGTGTTGTATTAATGCGTCCATTCAAACTATCCTGTTTGATGATAGTGGATTTGCCTTTAACTGTGGTACCATTATAACTACTACTCTTGTGCATGAGTAGACCATTGGTGGCATTAGCATGATTATGCGTCTGCTTGGTTTTCTCTAGCAGTAATGATTCTTCAGATGTTAATGGTCTTGGTTCATTTTTAAAGTTTAATATCGTTTCACTGGGAAAGTGATAGTATGTGGCTGACGAGGTAATGCTGTTATTGTTGTTGTTATTGTTGATATTGCTGTTATTTGTTGTATTATTAACTGACTGATAGTTATACTGAGCTTTTTGTAAAGTTTCATCTAGTGAGGGTACACGAGTTAATGTTAAGGTGGTAGTAGAAACACTCATATTTGGAGTGTTTGTGTTTTTATATAGTTGTTGGTTATTAAAGATGTAGTTTTTACAGGAAACAGTTGCCGTGTTGCAAGAAAGTGTGGGAAAAGTAGCGGAGTGTGAAAGAGAGCGTTTTTTTTAAAGTTTTTGTTTTAATTAAATTATTTACATAGTGTTTGTTTATATTAGTTAAGGAGCTTTAGACATTTTTGGTTCATACTGCAAAATTTTTAGAAAAAAATGGAAATAAATTAACACTGTTTTTTGGAGATTCTTTTAGTGCAAATTTGGCATCCCTGATTACCACTTAAATGTCGAGAAAATTTCTTTAAATGTAATCGAAAATTGTTACGTTTGTGTTTAACTATTCTATAGAAAACTTCTTCCAATTGCGATTTTTTTAAAGAAAAGTTGTTTCGATTGTGACCAACTATTCTATAGAAAAGTTTGTGATCAACCTTTCTATAGTATTGTAGATTCTTTTCTATAGAAAAGTTGTTCCGTTTGTGATCAACATTATTTTCCAATAGTCCTCGTATTTTGCTTTGATAATAATGTTCCAATAAGAAAAACCAGACAACAAAGACAATAAACGCGAAAATCTTAAGAAAATGCGAAAAGAAAGTACTTAATTATTAAGTTCAATAATCCCTTGCAAAAAATAGAATCCAAGTAAAAGAAAAAAAAAAAAATACCCTAACAAAAACAAACTGCCCGCATTTGCCCCCTCGTAACGCCTTACACATATAAAAACTCTACAAACAAAACAAAAACATGGTAAAATGCAAAAGGAATGCTGCAGTGACAGGTTTTGTTTTTGTTATTTCTTAAAAAAGCAATAATAACAAACAAATGCCAAAAGAAGCTTGAGAAAAACAAATGAATATGTATGTATGTATGTAGTTCTTTGCATTTATTGCTCTTGTATTAAACTGTTGGCGGTGGGAGGCCTGGCCTTTATGTGGTTGTTGTACACTAATAATAAACTATGTAACGGTATTAACAACAAATATATATTTAGCTCCAAAAAACAGTATTTTATTTATTTATTTTCAGTTTTTTTTTATTACGACAACATAATGAAACGCTTTGCTGCGTTTTCTCTTTGGCTTTTTTTACAAATAAATTTATATGTATTATTGGAGTTGTTGTTGTTATTTTGTTACTTTCGATTTTTTTTTTGTACTTGTGAAATATTTTGTTGCTATACTTTGCATTATTTACGTTTTAGATTTGCACTTCATTATTTATGGTAAAAATACCCCATGTAGGGGAAGTGGCCACAGCAGGAATAGAGTAGAAAAATAAAACTTTAAAACACACTCAATACCAAAAAAGATGATTTCACTTTCATTTTGTATAGATTATATTATTGACTTTGGTCCATTATATGTATGTTATAACATTTCATAATAGGCACCTAATATTTTTTTAAATAATCTATACAAAAGCATTTAAAAAAACACAACACCTTTGACCTTTTTTGGGGGATTTTATTTCAATTTTTATATTTAAACTTTTTGTAGTATTTGTTTACTTTTTTTTAATTTGTTTGATTTTATTTCGTTGCGTTTAGTAAAATTTCACTTTTTTCTTTTATAAATATGTTTTGTATTTATTTTTATGTATTTTTTCTTTACTTTTTTTACCCACGTTGGTGATTTTTTGTATAATTTCTATTTTGCTCCAACCGCAGTTTCTTTTTCTTTAACCACACGTCACGAATTTCTTTGCAATACTGATTTCTCAGCGTTTCATTTTGGCCCCCCAAAACAAAAACAAAACATTTTTTTATGCATTTGTTGTTGTTTGAACAGCTGAGAGCAGTTTAAAAGAGTATGAGAGCAAAAAAGAAAATAAACAAACTAACACATGCTTGTTCAAATAAAGTAGTAAAAATAGCAGTAGAATACTTATACATAGTTATGAATAACATCTTTTTTTAATTTTTAAAATATAATACCGGTTAACTCTTAAAGTAAAAATCAGCACGCCAATATTTGTATGGAATTTTGAAGGTATTTTAAGGGTAATTAAAATCAACGAGTTCTTTGTTATATAAACATTTCTAGTTCAGTTCTAATTAGGTTCTAGTTCATGTCTAATTCAGTTAAGATTCAAATTCAGTTCTAGTTCAATTAATAGATTATTCAAACTTGGCAGCACTTTTTGTGTCGTTCTTATTAGAGAAAAATATACGTTCTAATGTACTATTAATAGTAAACAGTTTGGGCTAATAAAGTAACGCCAATATTTTTGACATTATTTATACTTAAAATTCCAAACCCTGTAGAATTCAATAACTTTTAATACAACCCTGACATAGCAAAGAAAACGTAGCAAGCAGCTGTTTTTTATTTACATTTTTTCTCAATCAAAACACATTTTATTTTCTCTAAAAAAAACAAGTACATATTATAAAATAAATTATTGAAATTTTAAAAATTATCACATAAAAATGTTAAGAAATTTTATAAAACAAACAACAATCAAAAGATTTAATCAATATAAACCACTAAACAACAGAAAACTTCACACAACTGCTCAAAAATTAGTAGAGGAAGAGCCGCAATCTGTGGAAAACAAGCATGTCAATAGAGTTAATGAATTTATGTTGAAATATAATACAGAACAACAACAAAAGATATTAAAAAGTATAAATAACTATAATTTAAATGAATTACTAAAGTAAGTTTGCATTACATACAAATTTTCAATAAATTTCTAAAAATATTTGATTCCTTTCCCCAGCTATGACATCTCCAAGGCTAGAGCCAATAAACTTTTAGCCTTTCGTATGCGTAATGGTTTGCTAAAGCATTTAAATGATATATTCTCTATAGAAGGTTTTGGTCTTAAAGTAGCTGATAAATTCTATCAAAGTTTGCTGCAAGAACCTAAAATCAATGAAGTGGATTTAGGTCAAACGGCTAAGGCTAGAACAGCTCCCTTTATAACACCCGCTTTGGAGGGTGAACAAAGGGAGTCCATTAAATCTTGTGTTTCAGTAAGAATTGGTGTAAATAGTATAACCTGGGCTCGACTAGATGTTCCCGGTGCCGAAGTAAATGCTCCTTGTTTGTTAACCCATTGGGCACATCATGAAATTTCCGAGAAAAAGTTACATTTAAATGAATTAATACAACGATGTTTGTATGTAAATCATTTGATACCTGCCGCCGACTGTTATCTCTTTGAAAATCCTCAAATGGCTCAGGCTAGCAATAATCCCGGCAGTGTGGAACAGCAAAATATTAATATACAAAAGGCTCAAGTTACCGCCATTATGGGTTATGCTTTGGCTTCGAGAAATAACGAGTTAAAAGATTATGGTGACATTGATTTGGACAAAAAAAGCAAATATTTACCCAATGTCTTCTATGTACGTAGATTTTTAACAGCCCGTCTTTTCAATCATTTAGTGGGCACGGAAAGAGTGTCTTCCGAAGATACCATAATAAATATGATGCGTACATTTTATAATACCAACGAAATGAATGATATTGTGACGGATGAAGAGGATTCGAAATCTGAATTGGTAGAACAGCCAAAAGAATTGGAATTGAATTTCTCAGGTCGTGTACAATTCCCCAACGAATTGAGACAGATGTTTTCCAAGTCACCAAGATATTTTAGAGAGTTTCTGGGACAAACTTTGTTGTTGAATTTGGCTTTTGTACGTTTAGTTTTGTTGCAGGACCCGGAAAGTATAGCCACAGTATCGAGAGGTGGTAATAAGGCAAAGACACCTTAAGGGGTTTAATTTTTAAATTGATTGTTTGTTGACGTTATTATGTTTTAATAAAGTTTGTAAAAAAACTCGAAGTGAAAAACTTATAATTACTATTTTATATTTTTATGAAATTGAATCAGTTTTGTTTTAATTTTAGTTCAACTCTAGTTCATTTCTAGAGTTCAGTTCTATTTCCGTCTAGTTCAGTTCTAAATCTTTTTAATTCAGTTCTACTTCAGTCCTATTTCAGTTCAAGTTCCGTTAGTTCTAGTTCAGTTCTAGGTAATTGCTTGTTAGGTTCTAGTTCATTGCTAGTTAAGTTCTATTTTAGTTCTACTTGAATTCTAGTTTTAGTTCAGTTCTTGTTCTGTTTTTCAGTTCTAGTTCAGATCCAGTTAATTTCTAGTTAATTGCTTGTTAAGTTTTAGTTCATTGCTAGTTATGTTCTTTTTCAGTTCAAGTCGAGTTTAAGTTCAATTATAGTTTTAGTTCCGTTCTAGTTCAATTCTAGTTCTAGTTCAGTTCTTGTTGTATTTTTCAGATCTAGTTCAATTTAAATTTGTTAACGTTTTTCAAGCTGATACTTCCAGCTGTTTACATTGGCAAATGAAAATAAAAATGCAAACTTGGCAGCACTTTGCGTGTCATTCTTATTTGACATTTTATTGCATTCCAGTTGTGAACGTGGAATTTTGGAATAAAACAAAAGTTTAAAAAACACACGTCAAAATTTTACCAAGAAACAAGAGAATAGGAAGGAAAACGAAAAGAAATAAAAATTAAATTTAATTATTTAATATTTTAGCAAAACGTTCAAGAATTTTTGTAATTATTCCATAAAGTTTAAAACATAAATATAAAATAACTAAATAAACAACAACGCAACATTTTTACGACAACAAAAAGTGTCTTTCTTATTTTTTTTTATCAAACAAAAACAACGAAAAAACTCCAACCCAAAAAAACCTCTTCAAAAAGCCCAATTAATTAGCTAAAGCACAGCAAAAATATTGTGCTAAATATTAAAAAAAGAATTAGAAAAACGAAAAATCATGGCAAGTTCAACAACAGGTCCTACGAAACAAGAAATTGAGGCAGTTTTTGCACGTTTAAGATCACAGGCAGCGAACAAGGTAAAACAAAAAATTTGCAAATAAAACAAATTTATAGATTTTGCCTAAATTTATAAAAAAGGTAAAAGATAAGGGAGTTTAAAATAAAAACACACACGCAAAAAAGAAAAAAACTGATGACGTCCTTAACCAACAAAACGAGGGCAATAAACTTAAAGCCCTGAAAGTTTAATTCATTTATCAGCAATAAAAAGGAAGCGTTAATTATGTTAATGTTAACTATGTTAACTTTTTTAACTACTTTGTTATCTTCTAGCTTAATTTATTCTATTTGCTAATTTGTTTATTTACCTCATTTAGGCGTGTTTCGATTGTGGTGCCAAGGCCCCCACCTGGTCTACCGTTACATATGGCGTTTTCATTTGCATCGATTGTTCTGCCGTTCATCGCAGTTTGGGTGTCCATTTGACTTTTGTGCGTTCCACAAATCTAGACACTAACTGGACTTGGCTGCAATTGCGTCAAATGCAATTGGGCGGCAATGCAAATGCTGCTCAATTCTTCCGTCAACATAATTGCACCACTACGGATGCTCAGCAAAAGTATAATTCACGTGCTGCTCAATTGTATCGCGATAAATTGGCCGGTATGGCTCAACAGGCCATGAAAATACATGGTACAAAGGTAGGTTTGGTGGGGAGGATAAATCTTTGCTAATGAAAAGTTGTTTGTTTTTAATTTGTTACAAGTTAAGCAAGTATACAAACCATTAGAGGAGATTTGAACATGGTTAAATAATTTTCAATTCTAATTCGGTTCTAGTTCAGTTTTAGTTAGTTCTAGACATGTTACAGATCAGATTCCGGTTTAATTTATGGTTCAGTTCTATTTAAGTTCTAGATCAGTTCTAGTTCAGTTCTAGTTCAGTTCTAGTTCAGTTCTAGTTCAGTTCTAGTTCAGTTCTAGTTCAGTTCTAGTTCAGTTCTAGTTCAGTTCTAGTTCAGTTCTAGTTCAGTTCTAGTTCAGTTCTAGTTCAGTTCTAGTTCAGTTCTAGTTCAGTTTAAGTTCAGTTCTAGTTCAGTTCTAGTTCTAGTTCAGTTCTAGTTCAGTTCTAGTTCAGTTCTAGTTCAGTTCTAGTTCAGTTCTAGTCAGTCCAGTTCAGTTCAGTCAGTTCTAGTTCAGTTAAGGTTCAGTTCTAGTTCAGTTCTAGTTCAGTTCTAGTTCAGTCAGTTCTAGATCAGTTCTAGATCAGTTCTAGTTCAGTTCTAGTTCTAGTTCAGTTCTAGTTCAGTTTCTAGTTCAGTTCTAGTTCAGTTCTAGTTCAGTTCTAGTTCAGTTCTAGTTCAGTTCTAGTTCAGTTCTAGTTCAGTTCTAGTTCAGTTCTAGTTCAGTTCTAGTTCAGTTCTAGTTCAGTTCTAGTTCAGTTTCTAGTGTCAGTTCTAGTTCAGTTCTAGTTCAGTTCTAGTTCAGTTCTAGTTCAGTTCTAGTTCAGTTCTAGTTCAGTTCTAGTTCAGTTCTAGTTCAGTTCTAGTTCAGTTCTAGTCAGTTCTAGTTCAGTTCTAGTTCAGTTCTAGTTCAGTTCTAGTCAGTTCTAGTTCAGTTCTAGTTCAGTTCTAGTTCAGTTCTAGTTCAGTTCTAGTTCAGTTCTAGTTCAGTTCTAGTTCAGTTCTAGTTCAGTTCTAGTTCAGTTCTAGTTCAGTTCTAGTTCAGTTCTAGTTCAGTTCTAGTTCAGTTCTAGTTCAGTTCTAGTTCAGTTCTAGTTCAGTTCTAGTTCAGTTCTAGTTCAGTTCTAGTTCAGTTCTAGTTCAGTTCTAGTTCAGTTCTAGTTCAGTTCTAGTTCAGTTCTAGTTCAGTTCTAGTTCAGTTCTAGTTCAGTTCTAGTTCAGTTCTAGTTCAGTTTCTAGTTCAGTTCTAGTTCATTTCTAGTTCAGTTTCTGTTCATTCTAGTTCAGTTCTAGTCAGTTCTAGTTCAGTTAGTTCAGTTCTAGTTCAGTTCTAGTTCAGCTCTAGTTCAGCTCTATATCAGTTCTAGTTCAGTTCCAGTTCAGTTCAGTTCTAGTTCAGTTCTAGTTGATTTCCAATTCAGTTCTAGTTCAGTTTTAGTTCAGTTGTAGTCCTGTTCTAGTTCAGTTCTAGTTCTAATTCAGTTGTAGTTCTAGCTCAATTCAATATATTTCAGTTGAGAATAACATTTGGACGTTTATAAAAAGCTAATTTTACTCTTCTTTAATTGTGTGTTCCTATAATTATTCATCACACGCTCAAGTCTCGGGTTTTTTTTGTTAATTTTAATTATCATTTTTAGCTGTTTTTAATTAAACAAAATGTTAAAATTAAAATGCACACTTTGGTGACTATTAAGTGTAAAAAAGTCTACACTTAAAGTGTGATGTTCTAATATGAATAAACGATTATTATTTTTTTACTGAACTAAAAATAAATTTTTATAGAAATGGGGGGTGTTGAGTATATTTGCTTTTATAAGTAATAAATTATGATTCATAGATGTAAATTATTTATAACTTTTACTATTTTAGAAAATGGTTGGAAAAACCTAAGAGGCTTACTGTCAAATATTCTTAATTTAGTTTGAAATTATTAAATCAATATTTTTTAGCAAAATTTTTCTTCTAATGGTTTGTTTCTTTGTTTTTTAATTTTAAATTTTGTTTGCATTTGTTATTTTATTTGTTTTAAGTTTCTGTTATTAACAATAGTTTTTTTTAATTTCTTTAAATCTATGTTGATTTTTTGTTTGTTTTTTTGAAAATCAAATTTCTGCTAAAATACACACAACAACACAAACTAATTATTGTTTATATTAACAATTATTCCTGTAAATTAAACTTTGTTAAATATTTATTGTAACTGGAGAGCAGCTTTATTTGGATAATCAATCAGAAAAATTGGAAAATAATGATAATGCCAAAGAAGAGGAAGATTTCTTTGCCCAATGCCATAGTGATAATAAAGATGCATTTTTCGATAATAATACTAGCGATAGCAATAATGCGCAAAAGGTAAGTTTCACCGTTATTCTCACATTCGTAAGCACTAGCTAGAAAATTTTTTAGAAATTACAAATTAGCGCATGCTTTGTTAAAGTTAATTTTATAAAATAGAAAAAAAAATTACAAGTTCAATTTATATTTTGTTGTTGTTTTTTTGTTCATAACATTTTTGTACTTTTCTAGATCGATTTACCTGTCAAGACTTTAACGCCGTCTACCAATGACAAACCCACCGCTGCTGATACTTTAACCGGTGCTCCTAGTGTAGATTTATTAAATTCGGTAGTACCACAACAAACCATGACTTCCTCAATAGGAGTACGCAAAATACAACCCAAAAAATCTGGGGTAAGTTTTCTAAATTCTAAATTTAAAAATTTTTGTTAAATTGTTATATATTTTATATTTGTTGCAGTTGGGTGCTCGCAAAACAGGCGGCTTAGGTGCTACTAAAGTTAAAACAAATTTTGCTGAAATCGAACAACGTGCCAATATGGCTAATCAATTAAAAGATGCTCCAATTGTGCCTGACAAACCTTTAACCGCTGAAGAGGAACTAGAATCTGTGGCTAGCATGCGTTTGGCCTATCAGGATTTATCGCTGAAACAATCGCAACAGGAAAACAAATTAAAGTCTATCGATCCCGTTAAGGCTAAACAAATGGAACGTTTGGGCATGGGCTTTAATTTGAAAGGAAAGTAAGTTGATTGGAGGTATTTAACAAAGGAAATTTTCCGCCTTAAAAAACTGGGAGACTTATCACTATACTATCGAGGTTTTTAAATATGCTAATAAACTGAAATATGTCCGTATCCTGTATAATAGGAGGTGATATTTATCACTATACTATCGAGGATTTTAACAATGTAAAAGCAAACACTTCGGGCTGAAAATTATTGCTGATTTAAGGCAAAAAAACAAACTATAAACTGTCTGATTTCAAGCCAAGAATATGTTAGTTAGTTAGTTAATTAGTTAGTTAGTTAGTTAGTAGTCGTTAGTTAGGTTCGTTAGTTAGTTAGTTAGGTAGTTAGTTAGTTAGTTAGTTAGTTAGTTAGTTAGTTAGGTTAGTTAGTTAGTTCGTTAGTTAGTAGTTAGTTAGTTAGTTAGTTAGTTAGTTAGTTAGTTAGTTAGTTAGTTTGTTCGTGTGTTAGTTAGTAGTTGTTAGTTGTAGTAGTTTGTTAGTTTGTTAGTTATTTAGTTAGTTAGTTAGTAGTTAGTTAGTTAGTTAGTTAGTTAGTTAGTTAGTTAGTTAGTTAGTTAGTAGTAGGTAGTTAGTTAGTTAGTTAGTTAGTAGTTAGTTAGTTAGTTAGTTAGTTAGTTAGTTAGTTAGTTAGTTAGTTAGTTTAGTTAGTAGTTCGTTAGTTAGTTAGTTAGTTAGTTAGTTAGTTAGTTAGTTAGTGTTAGTTAGTTAGTTAGTTAGTTAGTTAGTAGTTAGTTAGTAGTTAGTAGTAGTTAGTTAGTTAGTTAGTAGTTAGTTAGTTAGTTAGTTAGTTAGTTAGTAGTAGTTAGTTATAGTTAGTTAGTTAGTTAGTGTAGTTAGTTAGTTAGTTAGTTAGTTAGTTAGTTAGTTTAGTTAGTTAGTTAGTTAGTAGTTAGTTAGTTAGTTAGTAGTTAGTAGTTAGTTAGTAGTTAGTTAGTTAGTTAGTTAGTTAGTTAGTTAGTTAGTTAGTAGTTAGTTAGTTAGTTAGTTAGTAGTTAGTTAGTTAGTTAGTTAGTTAGTTAGTTAGTAGTTAGTTAGTTAGTTAGTTAGTTAGTTAGTTAGTTAGTTAGTTAGTAGTTAGTTAGTTAGTAGTTAGTTAGTAGTTAGTTAGTTAGTTAGTTAGTTAGTTAGTTAGTTAGTTAGTTAGTTAGTAGTTAGTTAGTTAGTTAGTTAGTTAGTTAGTTAGTTAGTTAGTAGTTAGTTAGTTAGTTAGTTAGTTAGTTAGTTAGGTTAGTTAGTTAGTTAGTTAGTTAGTTAGTTAGTTAGTTAGTTAGTAGTTAGTTAGTTAGTTAGTTAGTTAGTTAGTTAGTTCGTTAGTTAGTTAGTTAGTTAGTTAGTTAGTTAGTTAGTTAGTAGTTAGTAGTTAGTTAGTTAGTTAGTTAGTTAGTTAGTTAGTTAGTTAGTTAGTTAGTTAGTTAGTTAGTTAGTTAGTTAGTTAGTTAGTTAGTTAGTTAGTTAGTTAGTTAGTTAGTTAGTTAGTTAGTTAGTTAGTTAGTTAGTAGTTAGTTAGTTAGTTAGTTAGTTAGTTAGTTAGTTAGTTAGTTAGTTAGTTAGTTAGTTAGTTAGTTAGTTAGTTAGTTAGTTAGTTAGTTAGTTAGTTAGTAGTTAGTTAGTTAGTTGTTAGTTAGTTAGTTAGTTAGTTAGTTAGTTAGTTAGTTAGTTAGTTAGTTAGTTTAGTTAGTTAGTTAGTTAGTTAGTTAGTTAGTTAGTTAGTTAGTTAGTTAGTTAGTTAGTTAGTTAGTTAGTTAGTTAGTTAGTTAGTTAGTTAGTTAGTTAGTTAGTTAGTTAGTTAGTTAGTTAGTTAGTTAGTTAGTTAGTTAGTTAGTTAGTTAGATTAGTTAGTTAGTTAGTTAGTTATTTAGTTAGTTAGTAGTTATTTAGTTAGTTAGTTAGTTAGTCAGTTACTTAGTTAGTTAGTTTCAATGGAGGTTGTAAGTTACATCAACTCCAAATAGAACTCCACCGGAACTGCAGTACGCTCATTTACAAGTGTCTACGGTCAAACGGACTAGAACCACTAACCTACCACATTCTAAATATTTGAAACTGCCTTTACTAATGATTCTACCGTTTTTACCTTCCAGCGCCGACATTTCCCATTCCGTTTTAAGTGACATGGAGACTATACAACAAGCTCCGGGACCTAAAAACTCCAATAATTCTTCATCGACTCTAAACAAACTGTCGGCCTTCGATAATGATAGCTTCTTCAATGACTATTCGACTAGCATGTATAGTGGTAGCGGCAAGCAATAGCGGTACTGGAGCTAGTGGACTTTCCTCCAACAGTGGCAGCAGTTAAAATCGATACTAACATGAATTGGAAATGATGGGTTTTGAAACCATAGAACCTATTGGCTCAACACACTCCAATATTACATCAATGTTTGGTGGTGCTGGCGGTGATGGTGCCGAGGCAAAACCTAAACCCAAAACAACGTTGCCTTCTTCCACCAGCTATGACAGTAGTTATACGCGTAAGACGAGCTCATCACAACAGAAAAGCTCAAATAATTATGAAGATAATGCGGCTCAAAAGAAATTCGGTAGTGCTAAAGGTTTCGGTTCAGATCAGTACTTTTCGGATAGTCAATCACAACCGGATATTAGTGCAAATTTGTCTAGATTCCAGGGTTTCAAGAGCCATATCATCTTCGGATTACTTTGGCGATGGTAGCAGTCAACAACAAGGTTCCAGAGGTATTTATCTAACAGAATTCAAAGTTACTTTTAGGACTTATTAAAATTTTGTGCTTTTATTTTTAGGCTACAATACTGCGGTTGCCAATTTCCAAACTCCTGATTTAGATGATGTTAAGGAAAGTGTACGCCAGGGTGTTCATAAAGTAGCTGGACGTTTGAGCTCTTTGGCCAATGATGTTATGTCTTCTTTACAAGATAAATATGGTTACTGATAGTGTTTACTTTTGTTGTTTTCTTATAAACATTTCCGTTTCTTTTACTAATTAATCTACATTAAACAAATTTCCATTTTACTCTCTCGTTTTTCGTGTTTTTCCAAAAATATTTAATTCATTTAAGATTATTTTCTTTTTGGTATTTAGTAGAAAAATTATTATTTTAAAACATGTTTTTAAAATTATTTTTAAATAAAGATTAATTTTTAAAGCTTTTTATGGCAATATATAGATTTTTTTGTTTCTTTCTTTAGTTCGTTTTGGTTTTAAATATTGCCTTCAAAAGTGTTTAATACTGTTCTTGTTTTAAACAGAGACAGAATCTTCTTTAATGTTTTGTTAAACAAAAAAATTTTCCATTTAACAAATTTAAAATTGAACTTAAGTTAATATTGCAATATTTAAGAAATTGTCAATATATATAATATTATACATAAAAATATAAAACAAAACTTATATAGAAAAGAATAATAAACAATAAAATTTTAATTATTTCTGATATACAATAATAAAAACAACTAATTGCACCTTGAATGTTAATAGAATCTATTAAAAACAAAAAACTAAATAAAAAGAATGATCGAACTTCCTTTTTGAACAAAGTTTTAAAATAACTATATTATTAAAAAAGTCTTTTCATTGTACAAAAATTCTATTTCCAATAGATTTGGACTTACGAAAGAAGCTTATTTCGTTCAATATAAATACCTACGATTGAAGCTCATGTTGGCCTGTTAAAAGGGCCTTCTATTGAACCTCATGTTAAACCACTTTAAAAAGACCGAATTTAGGCTAAAGTGTGACTAAATTAAGACCATCAGTTGATGTCAATATTGACCTATATAATGTTCATTGATCAATGATAATTTTGGACTATACAAAGCCCTTCTATCGCAGTTTGAATGGATAAAAGGATCTTCGATTCAGCCTCTGTTGGACTATATAAAGATCCATGAATTAAAGCGAAATTGTGACTATTAATAAAAGATATAAGAATGAAAGCCGCAGTAGGTCTGAAAAAGGAAGCTATATAAAACCTTAAGAATGGAAGTCAAAGGTGGTATAGTTAAAGATCTAAAAACTGAATTAGAACTGAAACAGGAACTAGAAACTGAACATGAATTAAGAACTGAATCTAGAGCAGAACTAGAACGGAACTAGAACTGAACTTGAACAGAAAACTTGAACTGAACTAAGCACTGAACATAGAACTGAACTAGAACTGAAGCTAGAACTGAACTAGAACTGAACTAGAACTGAACTAGAACTGAACTAGAACTGAAACTAGAACTGAACTAGAACTGAACTAGAACTGAACTAGAACTGAACTAGAACTGAACTAGAACTGAACTAGAACTGAACTAGAACTGAACTAGAACTGAACTAGAATTGAACTAAGAACTGACTAAGAACTGAACTAGAACTGAACTAGACTGAACTAGAACTGTAACTAGAACTGAAATAGAACTGAACTAGAACTGAACTAGAATGAAGTAGAACGGACTAGAACTGAACTAGAATGAACTAGAACTGAACTAGAACTGAACTAGAACTGAACTAGAACTGAACTAGAACTGAACTAGAACTGAACTGAACTGAACTAGAACTGAACTAGAACTGAACTAGAACTGAACTAGAACTGAAATAGAACTGAAATAGAACTGAACTAGAACTGAAATAGAACTGATATAGAACTGAACTAGAACTGAACTAGAACTGAATTAGAACTGAACTAGAACTGAACTAGAGCTGAACTAGAACTGAAGAAAACGAACTGAACTGAACTAGAAAGAACTGAACTAGAACTGAACTAGAAACTGAACTAGAACTGAACTAGAACTGAACTAGAACTGAACTAGAACTGAACTAGAACTGAACTAGAACTGAACTAGAACTGAACTAGAACTGAACTAGAACTGAACTAGAACAACTAGAACTGATGAACTAGAACTGAACTAGAACTGAACTAGAACTGAACTAGAATGAACTAGAACTGAACTAGAACTGAACTAGAACTGAACTAGAACTGAACTAGAACTGAACTAGAACTGAACTAGAACTGAACTAGAACTGAACTAGAACTGAACTAGAACTGAACTAGAACTGAACTAGAACTGAACTAGAACTGAACTAGAACTGAACTAGAACTGAACTAGAACTGAACTAGAACTGAACTAGAACTGAACTAGAATTGAACTAGAACTGAACTAGAACTGAACTAGAACTGAACTAGAACTGAACTAGAACTGAACTAGAACTGAAATAGAACTGAACTAGAACTGAACTAGAATTGAAGTAGAACTGACTAGAACTGAACTAGAACTGAACTAGAACTGAACTAGAACTGAACTAGAACTGAACTAGAACTGAACTAGAACTGAACTAGAACTGAACTAGAACTGAACTAGAACTGAACTAGAACTGAAAAGAACTGAAATAGAACTGAACTAGAACTGAAATAGAACTGATATAGAACTGAACTAGAACTGAACTAGAACTGAATTAGAACTGAACTAGAACTGAACTAGAGCTGAACGAACTGAAGTAAAACTGAACTAGAACTGAAACACTGAACTGAACTAGAACTGAACTAGAACTGAACTAGAACTGAACTAGAACTGAACTAGAACTGAACTAGAACTGAACTAGAACTGAACTAGAACTGAACTAGAACTGAACTAGAACTGAACTAGAACTGAACTAGAACTGAACTAGAACTGAACTAGAACTGAACTAGAATTCAACTAGAACTGAACTAGAACTGAACTAGAACTGAACTAGAATTGAACTAGAACTGAACTAGAACTGAACTAGAAACTGAATAGAACTGAACTAGAACTGAACTAAAACTGAACTAGAACTGAACTAGAACTGAACTAGAACTGAACTAGAACTGAACTAGAACTGAACTAGAACTGAACTAGAACTGAACTAGAACTGAACTAGAACTGAACTAGAACTAACTAGAACTGAACTAGAACTGAACTAGAACTGAACTAGAACTGAACTAGAACTGAACTAGAACTGAACTAGAACTGAACTAGAACTGAACTAGAACTGAACTAGAACTGAACTAGAACTGAACTAGAACTGAACTAGAACTGAACTAGAACTGAACTAGAACTGAACTAGAACTGAACTAGAACTGAACTAGAACTGAACTAGAACTGAACTAGAACTGAACTAGAACTGAACTAGAACTGAACTAGAACTGAACTAGAACTGAACTAGAACTGAACTAGAACTGAACTAGAACTGAACTAGAACTGAACTAGAACTGAACTAGAACTGAACTAGAACTGAACTAGAACTGAACTAGAACTGAACTAGAACTGAACTAGAACTGAACTAGAACTGAACTAGAACTGAACTAGAACTGAACTAGAACTGAACTAGAACTGAACTAGAACTGAACTAGAACTGAACTAGAACTGAACTAGAACTGAACTAGAACTGAACTAGAACTGAACTAGAACTGAACTAGAACTGAACTAGAACTGAACTAGAACTGAACTAGAACTGAACTAGAACTGAACTAGAACTGAACTAGAACTGAACTAGAACTGAACTAGAACTGAACTAGAACTGAACTAGAACTGAACTAGAACTGAACTAGAACTGAACTAGAACTGAACTAGAACTGAACTAGAACTGAACTAGAACTGAACTAGAACTGAACTAGAACTGAACTAGAACTGAACTAGAACTGAACTAGAACTGAACTAGAACTGAACTAGAACTGAACTAGAACTGAACTAGAACTGAACTAGAACTGAACTAGAACTGAACTAGAACTGAACTAGAACTGAACTAGAACTGAACTGAACTAAACTGAACTAGAACTGAACTAGAACTGAACTAGAACTGAACTAGAACTGAACTAGAACTGAACTAGAACTGAACTAGAACTGAACTAGAACTGAACTAGAACTGAACTAGAACTGAACTAGAACTGAACTAGAACTGAACTAGAACTGAACTAGAACTGAACTAGAACTGAACTAGAACTGAACTAGAACTGAACTAGAACTGAACTAGAACTGAACTAGAACTGAACTAGAACTGAACTAGAACTGAACTAGAACTGAACTAGAACTGAACTAGAACTGAACTAGAACTGAACTAGAACTGAACTAGAACTGAACTAGAACTGAACTAGAACTGAACTAGAACTGAACTAGAACTGAACTAGAACTGAACTAGAACTGAACTAGAACTGAACTAGAACTGAACTAGAACTGAACTAGAACTGAAAGAACTGAACTAGAACTGAACTAGAACTGAACTAGAACTGAACTAGAACTGAACTAGAACTGAACTAGAACTGAACTAGAACTGAACTAGAACTGAACTAGAACTGAACTAGAACTGAACTAGAACTGAACTAGAACTGAACTAGAACTGAACTAGAACTGAACTAGAACTGAACTAGAACTGAACTAGAACTGAACTAGAACTGAACTAGAACTGAACTAGAACTGAACTAGAACTGAACTAGAACTGAACTAGAACTGAACTAGAACTGAACTAGAACTGAACTAGAACTGAATAGAACTAAACTAGAACTGAACTAGAACTGAACTAGAACTGAACTAGAACTGAACTAGAACTGAACTAGAACTGAACTAGAACTGAACTAGAACTGAACTAGAACTGAACTAGAACTGAACTAGAACTGAACTAGAACTGAACTAGAACTGAACTAGAACTGAACTAGAACTGAACTAGAACTGAACTAGAACTGAACTAGAACTGAACTAGAACTGAACTAGAACTGAACTAGAACTGAACTAGAACTGAACTAGAACTGAACTGAACTAGAACTGAACTAGAACTAGAACTGAACTAGAACTGAACTAGAACTGAATTAGAACTGAACTAGAACTGAACTAGAACTGAACTAGAACTGAACTAGAACTGAACTAGAACTGAACTAGAACTGAACTAGAATTAATTTGAACTGAACTAGAACTAAAGTTGTTCTACTAAATATGTATGTATATGCGTTTGAAACCAAAGTTGAGGATATTAAGGATCTTCGATTTAAATAAAATTTCTATCACTCAAGAAACTACAATTGAAGCCATTTCGACTATAAAACGGCTTATAATTGAGGTTCAATTGAAAACTCATTTAGATTTTTTTAAAGGATAATTTTTTT